AAGTATTGCTTGCAGCTTTCTTTCATCTTCCTATTGCCAAAAAAAACAAAAACATATCAAAGCCAATGCTTTTGTCACCTATATTTCCATCCAAGATCTAAGATTAGTTAGGTTTTTAACCGAAAATTTTAAATCTTATATTCTACAATCATAGAAATATGTTTATTTATACTTTTGAATTTAACCAGTTGATCCAATGCAATATGTATATATTCTACAACGGTTATGTGAATTCTGCACTGGTGAGTAAAAAAAGAGTCTAACTTGATCGTTCCCGAGTTTTTGGTTACGAGTTATAACATCACTAATTTGAGCCGACAAAAATACCTATCAACAGATTATAAATTCAGGGAAAACAAAGGATTAGCGAGTAAGAAAAGTCTTATTGATTAAAAGTGTAAGAGTATATCAGACAATCATCAGTCCTACAAACTAACTGATGTTTTGATCCTAAAACAAAAGCACGCAACACTTGGACAAAAACTCCCCAAACATTCTTACATACAAACAACAAAACTTGCCTAATAAGAATGTAACTTATAACAAAATGAATATGTAGTTCTTATTTTTTTTCTACTACCGAGGAATGAAAAAAAGAGTTTTTATGGTATGATGATTTAACGCTCATCATTGGAGCGACTCGATGACCAACATGATGATGATGTGCTAAGACTCTCGAGCCAGAATTCATCCGCAAGATGTGAGTTCGAGTCATTATTTCTATGCCACGACCAATGTGCTTTTTTCCCGTCTATAACCTTCAATCTCCCATGTCCAAAACTCGGTTCGCGATATACTGACAATGGTGAAGGAGGCTTCTTGAACCTATAATTCAAGATACAAAAAAAAAAAAGAACATTGCAATGAGTTTATTGAATTCATTTAAATGCAAATTTATCAAACGAAAACCCTTTAAATTGGGGAATATATGAAACTAAATTTAGATTGTCATAATGGGTGGTGGCGACATACGATCTAGCAAGGCCTTCTCGGTTGCCTCCGTCACCTATGGTTATGTAAATTGGTCCACAAGGGTCGGCCTTGTTGTTGTATACCCGTTTCTGCATCATCAATCACAATTCGCCATCAATAAGGTAAAGTAATAAACTCTTCATTTTTTTTTTGGGGTCACAATAAACTCTTTCTTCTAAAATTTAGTTTTCTATGTAAATAGTATCTTATACCACAATGATTTAATGAAAATTTAATTAGAAAAATATGGTGAGTGAAACTAAGAAACTTACGAAGCGTTCGTAGGCATGAACATGGCCGGAAAAAACAACGTCGACTCGAGCACTAAAGAGCAAAGACTCCATAGCTTCTCTCATGCTCTCTCCTTCACCTTCATGCGCCTCGTTCGTGTTGTACCACGGCGCGTGCAGTAACACCACCACCCACGGCGTCGTTTTACGGTCAACCTTTCTCCAACACAAGAACAAATAATCAATTTTCAAGAATTGATAGAACTTCTTTGAAAGTAAGTTGCATTATATTATCTACAAACTAACCTTTGCTAAATCGGCTTGGAGCCACTGATACTGATCGGAATCACAGTCAAAGTCGGTATAAGAACCGAGCATAATCGTGTGGACACCGGCTACATCAAAAGAGTAGTAGAGGTTAGAGTCAGAGAGGCTCTCGGTGTAAGGCATGAGCCACCGTGCATTGTAGGACTTGAAGGTTGTGTGTTCCAGGATTGGGAAGAATTCGACCTCGTGGTTTCCTTCAGTAACCATCCAAGGTCGCTGGCTCGCGAGTGGCTCGACAAGGCGGCCAAAGGAGTCCCAAAGTGGTTGGTTCGTGTCGGCGTAGGAGAGGTCTCCGGGAAGTAGAAAGACATCGTAGTCTTGGCTCTTTATCTGAGATAATGTTGCTGCTGTCCATTCGGTTTGGCCTAGGTCACCTTCAATTTCACATCAAAAACCGGTCTTTTGTTAAGTCGACATGAAATTTTGGTCCTTAACCGGTATGAACCGGAACACAACATATAGAGGTGTGAAAATAGATGAACCCCAATTCAACTCAACCAATTTTTATCCATGAATGAAATGATTTTTTTGGTTTTGTGTATATATATATGTTAGAAAGGTTACATAGTTCAAATATTAAAATATCTATATTAATTAAAGTTTGTTAATAACAGATTACAAAAGTTTATGTATTCAATAGTTAAAATAATTTAGTGAATTGACCCGTTAACCCAACCCCACTGGGTCACTACTAAATTATCTTGAACTTAAGCCAATTCATGCACAAATAAACCTTTTTTACACCCTACAAATGTAATTAGCCAATGAATTAATTTTTACGTGCGACCTTTTAGAAAAATCAAACTCGACCAGAAAATTGTGGGCATGCCTAACATGTTGTAGACGTGTACCTTCCTGCAAGTTTTGTGTGTTATTGTGCATACTAAAGCTATTAAGTTCGACTTTTTCAATGTGATCCAATTTTTTTTTTTAAGTTTTCTAGTAAACATAGAGTTTCATATCTTTGGTATACATACTATCTACCGCTGAATTATCATTATTCAATATGTTTGATGTTTTTCTTTTCTATCTTAGTTATACATTAAGAACAAGGTCGAAAGTTCTTATGACCAAAACAAAACAAAGTTTCATGAACCTAAAATTTGTACTATTACGTGGTCGTTGTATAACTAAGTACTATTCAAATTCGAATATGGTAAAATTTGGTTGTTTAGAAAAAAAAAGAGTTTGAGGGAATTTACCAACAATAGCGAACTCCACCGGATAAGTTGATGGAGGAGTTTTGAAAGAAAATTCAGGACCGTTTCCGCCACAACGATAGTAGTAAGTGGTGTTGGATTGGAGAGGTCCGATCTTGACATGGTGGATCTTACCGGAGCTGTAGAAGATATACTTGTAAGAAGTAGATTCTCCGATGGTTTTTCCGTCGTATTTTCCCGGCTGCTTACCGTATTCCACCACCGACTCCACTTTCTTGTCTTCCGTTATGTATGTTACTCTCATGTGGTCCATACCCGCCAATGATACGTGCACCTTTAATTTATCAAATTATTTAAACCAACACAAACCTTTATAAGCAACATTTAAAGGAACACTTTATGCTAAAGAAACATTTAAGTAGCAAATATATTAGATCAATAACCAAATGTTAACAAAAAAG